TAAGTCAAGGCCCCACTGTACTTGTTTCGTCTATCTCCTTTCCGAAAACCGACTTCTGCGCATGGGCCACGAAGTTTCAATCGCACTGTACGTGTGCGCCCGCACATGGTATTTTGTGAAAGAGCCACACTCAAGGGGCCAAAGAGCCACATGTGGCTCGCGAGCCGCGGTTTGCCGACCACTGAGTTAGAGCATGCACCTTTGGTGAAAAAGCAAAGCAAGCAAACCTATGCATGTGGCTTAGGAAGCGCTGACAGACTCTCGGCTAATCTGCAGAACCAGTTGGGTGGGGGTCTGGCATTATATACTCTCCTGTCTGTAGGTTTCAAAATTCCTCTGCTGGATATTTTGGTGCAGATTAATTCTCAAGGTCCCTGTTTATTTTGTTGTGTCCTTCCCAGAATTCATGAGAAGCACCTGGCAACTTTACCTTACCAAGCCTGAGACTGCTGGCTTCTCTGCTTAGGAAGTGAAACGGCCCTTTTTTCCTTTCCCCTCCCCCTCCCTTTCTGCATTCTCTCCTTAGGGAGGTTTTTAACCATTTGCTCTCAGTCCTTGGCTGGGGAAGATAATGACTTATTAGTTACATGCTAACTGCAAATTGCCCACACTGTTTGGGCTTGTTTTAACTTTGCTGCCTCGGTTTCCCTATTCCTCCTGCCCTGGAACCCTGTAATATGACCAGTTTTACACACATAATTTGGTTAATTCTCTAGAGCTGATCATACTCCAGAGCCTCTGCTGATCAGATACCTGAGAGGCTGATTGGCAGCAGCATTTATTCAACACTTACTCTGCACCAAGGGCTTCTGGGCATGACCTCATGAAAATCACAATTAATTAGCAACCCCATTTTGCAGTGAGGACTTTGAGGTTCTGGGTGTAACTTGTTTGGTCATGTAACTGACCCAAGTTGTTAGGTTTTAAATGGAGTTTGAGCTCACATCTCACTCACTAGAACTCAAGCTCTTAAGAACCACGTCAAAATTAGATTTTAGATTAGAATGTTGGCTTACTGGTCTATAGTTCATATAAGGACATCAGAAATATATAGTAATACTTGTCACAAAGATTAACTGCTGTTGGGGACAGCAGTGGTGCAGGTGGCTGGGGTCCTAGGAGCTAAGAGTGCAGAGGAACAAGCTGGCAGGACAGCTGAGCAGGTGGGACAGCTGGGAAGAGAAGTGTGAGGAGATTTGAAGTAAGAGTCCGGGTGGCATAAGGGTGATAGTGGTAAGAAGTGCTCATGGCCCGGCCTGGGTGGCTCCCTGTTGAGCGTTGTCCCATGAATCAAGAGGTCCTCAGTTTGATTCCCAGTCAAGGCACATGACCCGGTTGTGACTCGATCCCCAGCCAATGGATGTTTCTCAACTATATTTCCATCTCTCCCTCTCCCTTCTCTCTCTAAAATCAACAAAACCATTTTTTAAAAAAGAAGGGCTCACATTTGTTGAGTGCCCTAATGTGTACTGGGCACAGCGTCCTGATCCCAGGACTTGGGTCTGTTCTTTTAAATGTGAAACTTTACTGAAGAGAAGTCGTCACCAGGAACCTGGGTAGTGAATAGTGCTTCATGGAGCACCTGGAAATTCAGGTGGTCATGCAGAGCCAACCTGAAAGATCTTAAATAGGGAAAGCCCTTGGGAACATCTGGCCCTCGCTGTCTGATTCATTCAACACTTAGTTGGTTGTTTGAAACTGGCTGCCCGCAAGCAGTGTGAATTGTTGAGTCCTGGGGATGATTCCTGTTGCCATAATGGTTGTGTGGATGGTTTTTAGGTGAAGCACCTGCAGAAGAATTGGAATCCATGGCAAAACATGAATCCAGGGAAGATAAAATTTTCCAGGAGTTTAAAAATAAAATAGCCCTGGAACCAGAACAGGTAAAGTAGAACTCGCATGGTTCCCTCTTGTGTTCTTTTTTTTTTTTTTTTTTTTTTTTTTTTT